ATTAAACATACCTTTTGAAAGAGTTACCAATGAAATCAGCAATGCAATCGTTTCTATGTAAAAATACTTCATACTTTATTGCCAATGGTACTTCAAAGTTGTGGTTTCAAAGCACGTGCCGGTTAGTAACGACGTTTTCATAGAGAGCGTTGATTTGCTTTTTTATAATTTCTTAGTCAATACCAGAAAGGAAAACCAAAAAACCCATGCACTTTCGAATCTCACCGAGTCGTTCACGGACCAATTAGAAGTAGCAGAAAATGTATTAGTCAACTTGCATAATATTCTATTATTCTATTGTGTTCTGTTGTAAATTCATTGTTTTTTTATGAATAGCTTAGATCAACTGCTTGCTACGCAGGCTCTTTCGAATGTGAATTGCATTATGAAATATTTGAACGCGCGCGCTGATTAGCTGGCTACCTAGTCTCTACGCTTTCTCCCTTGAGTAGCTGCTGCTTACCCGAGCACAACATTCCTTTCCTACGAATTAACCAATCACGGCTTAGTTCTCGAAAACCAGGAACGAATCGCGCCATATGGAAAGCAAGATGCGTCGTTAGAGAAAGGTTCCGAGATAGCAGCTAAGAAATTTCGCATTAAACAGTTAATGATCACCAGAAAGACGCTATACGAAAGATTTTTACATGAAAAACAAGATTTATTGGAAAATCTACCTACTAGATATGGGAAATCGCTTAAAGGAATAAAATATGGCGCTCAAGAGCATAGCCCAGTAATTTCTTCCGAGACAAGCTCGAGGACTTTTTGAATAACAGGGGTTCTAAGTTCCTGACATTTCACATAAATTGCTAACGCGACGTTAGAAGGTTGGCCATAAGATAACGCTTTAGCTAACGATTCGTGTTCACTTTTCACGACTTTTCTAACAGTGTGAACAAAACAAAACAAAACAACTTTTCTAACAGTATCAAATTGAGCTAGTCCTCGCAGTATACGCGAAGTAAATACCAGAACTGTGAGCGTTACCCAGAAGTTTACAATGAATACCCGTGGAAGTCAACGGTGTGATAGTCTCAGAATTAAAAGTTATCTAGCCTTTTTGCGATTTTCTTTAGCTTTACACTGCATTCGTTGTTTAAAATAAGTGATCATCTTCTTCGTTTATTAAAAATACTGTCAGGATTTATATTCGAATTCAATCTCTTAAATCTTGAGTCGTCTCGTTTAATTTCCTTGAGTCTAAATTACGCCTTTTAAAAAAAGTTTTCCAGTTTCTTTTTGCTTCTAATACTTTGGTACGAGCTCGATAGCAAGTAATATCAGCAGATAAAACAATGTCGATAGCTAAACTTATA